AAACTGCGGATGATCGACTTACGGTGAACCCATTTATATTGCTGGGTGGACAGAGGCAGTGGGGGAGGGTAGTGGATTTGAGATGCGATGTAGCGTGCAGTTCAAACGCAACGTCAACGACGAGAAGACTTCAACTTTGAATCCGACGGCTCCTCTAAATGCCACCACGAGGTGACACAAATATATATAGAAGAGGGGGGGGGGGAAATCTGACGAAATGACCGCAGGCTTTGAAATTGCCAGAATGTTTTCTTTTGGGCCCTATGTACACCACAACACCGCGCAGCTGTTTGCGGGCTTTGCCACACAGCTCTCCGCGTGTTTTTCGGTTTGTTCCAGCGCGTTTCCTCGGGAACTCTGTCCCGACGTTTCTGGCCCACGTGCGGGCACCTCCTTGAGGTTATATTGCGTCCCCAAAGAAGGAAGTAGTTTTCCAGCACGTGGGCGAAACGTCGGAACATCACGCCGAGCGAGTAGCACACGGTGCAATCAGAAAAACCCAGCGTGCGGCATTTAACCATCCCACCACCCCCAACGTTGGGGCATCTCGCGGTGCGACGTCTTGGTAGAAATAACCGCGGCTATGGACGTGCATTATGGACACGTTGGCAGTGTTAAGATCGCGTGTTAACCCACGGTGGTGGCGGCGGCTCCACGTCGGCACGCGTGTTCTCTCGGGACACGAGAAAATGGCCAAATGTTTACCGCACCGAAGCCCGCTGGCCATAGCGGAGGGTGCGAGTGGCTCGCCGCGTGTGGCACAGCGTAGCTTATCAACAACAACAACAAACATCTCCCGGTTGTGTGCTCGTGCGGTGCCGCAGTGGAAAAATCTAGTGCCGGCAAGTTCCAGTTTCGCCTCGATTGGGACACGCTCGATCGTTGGAACACTCGATTGTGCCCGACACGGACGCAAAGCGTGAGTGTGTGCGTGCGTTGCAAGAGCAGTAAAACATACATCACAGCTTGGATGTGGATATTGATTTTTTTTAAATTATCAGTGTGCTTATATATATACACACACACACAATATGATCATCATCATACTCATCAGCGATCATTCTACTGCTGGACAAAGGTCTAATCCCCCCCACCAAGCCACGGTCCTGCGATTTCACAATCCACCTAACGACGCACAAACCGATCGAATCGCTCCATCTCCTCGGCGGACGTCTCTACCGACGCGCGTTCCACGACCTCCGCCGCCACTCGGCCCCACCATCGACCCTTCGGGGTGGCCAACATTTCCTGCCCAAGCCCCGCTTTCTTACTTTTGTCAGCAACTCGAACGATGCCTTTGACCCGCGCGTGCTCTCTGAAGACAGGTCGCGCGTGTTTATACAAAGCGGAGTTGCCACCTGTCGCCGGAGGGGGGGGGGGGGGGGAGGTTTGTTCCTGATGATTTTACTTGACCAAATTGTGCCTCTCGTCGCAAAGGAGCCAATTTTAGAACGCCAAGTGAACGCGCGATTTTTAAAGCATTTAAATTTTCTTCCAGCCACACGCGCACCGCAGCTTCCTATTTTGGCAGTTCAGGGGGCTCGCTGGAATTACACACGAAGCTCACTGCGGTCTTTGTGTTCGACAAAGGCGCCACCTTGTTCCAACGGCACGTGCTGCAATGTTGCTTTTAGAGCCCTGCCCTGCCACGCGCGCTTCGGCTCCACGGAGGGAGCGGACGCGCGGCTGAGCCCGGGACGTGCGGGAATTCACTTCGACGCCCTTCATCTCCCACCGGAAGCGTTCATCTAAACTAAAAACTAAACTATATCTTTTTTTTTTATTTTGACCAGGTAACAGCCCACTGAGCGATGCAGCTCTTTTTTTCAGAAGCGACCCGGCCACAAATGACGGCTCGGACAAAAGTGGCTTATCATCCATCACGTGGCAAATTTATAGCAACCCAAAAAATAAGTCTTAAAACGCATGCTGCTCAAGATCTGCCCTCGACGCAAGGCTACTCTGTGATAATAACAAGCAGTGGAGTAGCAATCGAGTGGGTCGGCAGTGCCAACTGCACGAGGGCCTATGGGCTGATGGGACTGAGACAGGGGGGCCTCTATTTCAACCCTTGTACGTACCAGTGCCCGTGTGAAGCACACTCCGCCGCCAGTAAACAAGGCTATAGGCTATGTTCCCTGGCCTGCCCTAGCTCTGCAGTGTGAACCCAATGTTGTTCTGGGGCTGCTATGAGGGTGCGATGGGCAGCGCACGTGGCAATCCACCAATATCTGCAGTCACGAGCTGCACATATCTATTATGTAAGAGTATATCCATGAAGGTTATTTTTTTGGGTTAGATCGCAAGAATATGAATGTCTCTTTAAACCCGCCAGCGTGCGATACAGCTAATTAGTAAGGTTTGTCACGTAAAGAAAAAAATTGGCTATTACCTACTTCAGAACAACTAATTGGCACGTTTTGTTGAAGTGACAAACCTCACTATTTACGTGATCTAACCCCCCCCCCCCCCCACCAAAAAAAAAACTTCACGATGGATAGTATTGGTCGCGAAAAGCCTACGTGTTAAACCTTGATGTATATCGGTCGCTCATTCTCCTCTGCTGCCCACATTGGCTGGAGCTCCCAACCCCCCAGACGTCCGTGCTGACGACTCCCTGCTCCCCCCCTGCCCCGTTCAAGCCCAGGCTCAAGGCCTTTCCTTCCTTGCTCTTCGCCTCGGCCCACCACCGACTGCCTCTCACGAATAAATGTGCAGTGAAATGGCGCGGTCACATTTAGACGCCATAGTAAAGGTTTTTGGGGGTTAGATCGCGCTATTTATAAATGTGTCGTAACCCTCCACCACCCGACATGGCCAATCAGCAAAAAAGTGTCACGTTGACAAAGACAAAATAGTTCACTACTTTAGCCCACCGGTGTGTTGAGTGAATCCACAACATTTTAATTTTGCATCATTAGACCTCCTTTGCCAGTACCAACATGTAATAATAGGGTTTTTGCCAGAAAAAAGGGGGAAAACCCTATTATTATATTTGCAGTTTTAATTAGTTAAATGATGACGTCACCCTGCTGCTCTATTTAAGACTGGGAGCAAGCGAGGGCTTTACCATTCTGGCGAATTGCCCGATGATGCTGGATGTATTTACCAGCGAAACGTCGTACTCAAACTGTAAATGTTGTGGATTCACTCTTCAACACACCGGTGGGCTAAAGTAGTAAATTATTTGTCTTTTGTCAACGTGACACTTTCTTGCTGATTGGCCGTGTCGGGTGGTGGAGGGTTACGACACATTTATAAATAACGCGATCTAACCCAAAAACCTTTATTATGAATAATATTGGTCGCGAAAGCCTACGTGTTAAACTGACATTTAGACGCTACAGAAATCCACATCGCATTGTGTATTTTTTTCTTCGAACTATAACTTCTTATAATTGAACGTGTGTGTTTTTGTTGTTGAAAATGTACACATGTATCATACATATACATTAAAATTTCCATTGAAATACGAATAATACTACTAATGCCTTGATTTTACGTGACGCGCAACGCGCACGTTTAATTTTCGTTTTAGCGGTGGCAACGATTATTGCTGCGGTGCGTGTGGCTTCAGGTGGGGCTTTAAAAAGCAGGGGCTGTATTCATCACCTCTCGGTGAACGCGCGGAGAGAGATTCATGGAATTTTACGTGATCGAGAAGATGCCAGTCAAATTGAAAAGGGAATTATATGAGGCAGCGATATGACCGGTTGAGAGAGAGGGCACTAAGGAAGATATGAAGAAGAGGCTTCGAAGGACAGAGATGAGAATGCCGAGATAGCTGTTGGGAAACTCTCGAAGGGAAAGGAGGTGAAATGAAGGAGTTAAAACCTTAGCGGAAGGTTCTAGAGAAGGAATGGGGGGGGGGTCAAGACTTTGATGGTTTGGCCGTGTGTTGAGAAGAGACAAAGAAGATGCAATGGGAAGGGCTTTTCATATTAGAAGCCCGTAGCCTCACGCAGAAGCCCACAGCCTTACACAGAAACCCAAACAATCATACAGAAATCCAGATTTACACACAAACCCATAGTGTCACATAGAAACCCACAGACTCACTCAGAAACGCATACTCACAGAGAAACCCATAGACTCACACAGAAACCCAAAGAATCACACAGAAATCCAGATTTAAACACAAACCCATAGTGTCACATAGAAACCCACAGACTCACTCAGAAACGCATACTCACAGAGAAACCCATAGACTCACTCTGAAACCCATTGACTCGCAGAGAAACCCATAGACTCACACAGAAACCCATTGACTCGCAGAGAAACCCATAGACTCACTCAGAAACCCATTGCCTCGCAGAGAAACCCATAGACTCACACAGAAACCCATTGACTCGCAGAGAAACCCATAGACTCACACAGAAACCCATAGTGTCACAGATAAACCCACAGACTCACACAGAAACCCATTGACTCGCAGAGAAACCCATAGACTCACACAGAAACCCATAGTGTCACAGAGAAACCCATAGACTCACACAGAAACCCATTGACTCGCAGAGATGCGTAGGCTACCGATGCAGGACTGGAAGAGCCAGCAGGAAACCGAGGGCCGAGACGGGGGGATACGGCGCAGCGAGACACGAGGACGGCGGAGTTGACTGGAGAAGAGGTGGAAGTGGAGAAGAGGTGGAAGTGACGAAGGGGTGGAAGTGAAGAAGGGGTGGATAGGGAGGCCCCCAGCAGCGACCCCATGCGACAAGAAGAGGAAGTATGGCACAGAAGTGGTGTGGATATGGTACAGAAGCCATCTAACAAAGACGGTAACTGCATCGTGCGCTTCCGGACGCACTTCTGTGGCTGTCTGGAACGCTCTTCCTTCCGACATTAGTAAGCCACTGGGGCTATGCGCTTTTAAAACGTCTAGATTGAAAACTCATCTATTTTGAACCACTTGTTGTGTTCAGTTTGTTGTCCTTCCCGTGCACCTCCGATTAGCACAGTTGGCTACGTAAGGTGCGAAAGAAGTAAAACATACACATAGAAGATGTTTGGATATGTACCGTAAAGCAACAACAATGACATTCCTCAAAAATATCTTCACGAAAGAAAATCAATTGATTCCGACTATAGTAGCATTTATCATACAATAACATGTTTAAGAATCATTCACCGATACATTTTTTTTGTTAATCAATCGTAACGTTTTAACGCGATTCTTTAAAAGCAAAACAGATGGTAAATCTCATTAGTTGTTACGTAAACCAGGCCACACACGTCGTGCGCGTGTACCGTGTGAGCGCGACACAACTGCACGGCTAACGGTGCGGCCCTGCAATTCCCTGGCTCACGCCACTGCTGCCGGAAGGTGCCTCCACCAGACGGCGCTCCCAGCGGGGAGCACCACCCGGAGGGTGTTTTGGCCGACGCTCGCCTTCCACGCTTGCCAGGCGTCTTCGGAGAAGAGGTTGGGAGCGGCCACGACTCACCCCGACCGCGCCGCGACCCCTTGCCGGTGCGACTAAACTGCCCCGCACCACCCCATGTGCACGGCTGGGTGGACAGCGGCGCCCGCGGCAGTGGAGGGGATTTACGAAACTTGCCACCGGCGTCTCGACTGCCTGCGCAGGAGGCGGAAGGGATCGAAAAGCGGCGGACCGCTGGGGTTTCGAACGACAACAGCGTGGTGCACGTTGGGGGGGGGGGCGGGTGGAGGGGCCGGGTGGAAAAAAAAAGTATCTGTGACGTCGACGCGCCGCGGGGGCGAATGCGGATCCGAGCGAGGCTCGGCAACGCGGTTCTCGCCGGGGCCCCGCGACGGCGACGCAGCGGCGGCGGCGGCGACGCCGGTCCGGCGCCCCGGCGCGTGAACCGCAACGGACGCGCCGAATGCCGCGCGCAAACGCGCCGGGCGGTGCAATTACGCGATCGTTAATTGGGTGACCTCTCGTTACGAATATTCGTTTTTTTCTCTCGTCGCTAGATCTAAGTGTTAGGGCTTTCCCGTAACCCGTGCCTAGGTAAGGACGTCACGCCACGGTTCACCTTCCACATGCTATTTACATGCCTCGCTCCTCCTGCCCGCCGCCGTCGTGCCTGCAACGAGACACAAAAGAAACACGGGCACCTCCGGTTAGCACGGTTGGCTATGGGCGGTGCGAAAGAAGTTCAACATACATACAGCCCATAGACTCAGCACTGCCCATAGACTCAACACTGCCCAAAGACTCAGCACTGCCCAAAGACTCAGCACTGCCCATAGACTCAGCACTGCCCATAGACTCAACACTGCCCATAGACTCAGCACTGCCCATAGACTAAACACTGCCCATAAACTCAACACTGCCCATAGACTCAGCACTGCCCATAGACTAACACTTCCCATAGACTCAACACTGCCCATAGACTCAACACTGCCCATAGACTCAACACTGCCCATAGACTCAACACTGCCCATAGACTCAGCACTGCCCATAGACTAAACACTGCCTATAGACTCAACACTGCCCATAGACTCAGCACTGCCTATAGACTCAGCACTGCCCATAGACTAACACTACCCATAGACTCAGCACTGCCCATAGACTCAGCACTGCCCATAGACTAAACACTGCCCATAGACTCAGCACTGCCCATAGACTAACACTGCCCATAGACTACCACTTCCCATAGACTCAACACTGCCCATAGACTCAGCACTGCCCATAGACTCAGCACTGTCCATTGATTCAGCACTGTCCATAGACTCAGCACTGCCCAAAGACTCAGCACTGCCCATAGACTCAGCACTGCCCATAGACTCAACACTGCCCATAGACTAACACTTCCCATAGACTCAACACTGCCCATAGACTCTACACTCAACCAAAGACTCAACACTGCATCATAGACTCAACACTGCACCATAGACTCAACACTGCCCAAAGACTCAGCACTGCCCATAGACTAAACACTGCCCATAGACTCAACACTGCCCATAGACTCAGCACTGCACCATAGACTAACACTTCCCATAGTGTTGAGTCTAGTTACGAGACAAAGTGAAAAAAGAGATAATGTGATGTGAGAAAATTACGACACAGAGTGATGAGCTAAAGTGATGGGATAAAGTGATGAGAGCGACAGCTTATTCACGCATTTATTTCAGGTAATTCGTGAATAAGGCCAATTGCATGATCCACGATATTTGCTATTCACGAGCATCCCCAGAAACGTACTTCGCCACAACAGCGAGGGAACACTGTCCACGCGTTATTGAACGCGAGGGCCGTGAGGACAACCCACGGGGGTGAAGGCGAGAGACGTCGTGCACACCGACGGGAGAAGCAAACGGGCCTGGGCAAGGACAGCTCGCCGAGGTCGACGGGCGATTGTTGGATTGGTTCCCTCGCGGGAGATGTGAGAAATGGCGATGGCTTGGGGAGGCCTTTGTCCAGCAGTGGATCGATCGTGGCCGATTACGATGGCAAAATCTTCTCGTTCGTGTACGGCCATTGTTGCCGGATGAGGGACTCCCCCCCCCCCCCCCCCCCCACCCTGTGCGGGTCGCGCGAGTCGTTTGCCCATACTTCACCACACTGGTCAGCGCGGGATGGTGAAGGTAGGGAGCAGAGACGTGGGAGCGCAGAAGCACGGTACAACTGTGCATTGCACTGCAATGGCCCCTGTTGCCTATAGCACATGTTGCATGCAACGGTGGTCGCCGACCCATGAAACAATCCAGGCTCAACCCTGCTCAGCTTCCGAGACGTGATGAGACTGGGGCGCGTTCCGGATGATTTGGTCAGGGGCCGGGTAATTTACCTTCACGTACAAATGATTCCGCGGGTCAATATCCACGCGGAGCATAATAATAATAATAGTAATTAAAATATGGATTAAGACATGGAATTTAAAATCAATCGCAGCGGTCGCCAAGTTGCCTGCTCGGTCGATCGCGTAAACTGGAAATCCAATTTCTTCTGCCAATCTTGCATACCCCGGTGCGTGCAGGCATGGCGTGTCACGGGCTAATGTTGGGAAATTGATCCGCTATCAAAATCCCGCGCGGTGGACATTAAAACGGACCGCGTCTATTTATCAGGGCCAATGGGAATCTGCTCACGACCTTAAGTAACGTTTGTCTGCCTGTGCTAACAGGGCACTGCGGCGGCCTTGATGTTAACCGCCTCGCCTGGTATGCAGGAAGTCGCGCGCTCGCTCCTGACCCCTGTATATTTGGAGTTTAAATAAAAATAGTTAAATTTTTTTGTTTAGATGAGTGGATCTATAAACATCCCAAGGGGGAGGCCGAACAGCCCCAAAATTCAATCATTTTTAAATAGGGCCCTGCATGAAAGATAATCAATTAAAAAAAACCGTTCCAATTAATCCCTCAATAAAATACCACATTTCGGGTGGGCGGGGCTAGAGCCCACATCACCCCCTCCTGGTATCCGCCAGGGTGTCGGTGTATCCCCACCGGATGGCGATACTATGATACCACGATGCCACGATATATCGCACAGCGCGATTTGTAATCAACATCACACGGTGATTTTCGTCGCTCGTTACATTTTTCTAAAGATATCGACTTCCTGGTGAAAGATATTTAACGAAAGCAAACGCAACGATGACGATGACGCACAACCACCGTGCCATCGATTACTCCGGGAAACAGTTTACCAAAGCAGTCGTTCAGTGAACAGCGACGCATTTTCAGCTTTAACAGCCGAGTCCGTGGCTCCGTGAATATTTTGTCAGAAAAAAAAAACATGCGGAAGAGAAAATGAGCAACGGCAATTGGCGATACGGCGATACTCGGCAAAAACGGAGGGTTCCGATTTTCTGTGCGTCTTACATCGATCCGATAAGCACGCACGTGTGGTCGCTCTGCGTCGCCGATGAGTGTCGCCTGCAGTCGTCACGCAGCAAGCGGGGAGGGGTGAGTGATGTCGCCGCGTAGCTTCACCCAAATTTGGTACCTTGCGAGCGATTTGACAATTTGGCAATCTGGGACCGTGACGCCAGCAAACGTGGCCTACTCTTTTTATTATTCTTCTTCTATCGAATCGAATTGTATGTTTACACAGAGTGCTTTCATACAAGGCGCTTGACACAGCTTACAAAACGATGACACAGAATAGAATGATTTAGATGGCAGTTGGGGAGGGGGTGCAAGGATTGAGGAATGAGTGACAGTGATAAAGGGGTACTTATGGATCACGAAAGTGTAGGGGAGGGACGGGAAGGAGTGGAGGGAAGAGGAAGGGAATGGGCAGTAGATAAGAGGTGAGGCTTTGAGAGAGGAATGGAAAGAGGTTAAGGAGGGGGACTGCTTCATGCACAAGGGAAGTTTATAACATCGCGCGATCTCTACTCCTCACCAAGATACGATGATATTTCACCAAATGGACAAGGGGATTATCATTGACCTTATATCGCACGAAATATCATGGCACCGCCATATCACGGCAACCCTACAAAAAAACACCACACAGCCTCGCGAGCTATCCAGCCGTGGGCCCGCCAAATCCCTAGGCAAATCCTGCAGCCCTAGCGCGCAAGTGTGGCTGTGCGTGCCTTACTGAGAGGCCAGTTGAGCTTCATTAAATCAATGGGCACCTCTTCTCAGCGATATTCAACTTGTGTGCCACATCCCGAGTTGGCAACAAATGAAACACATCAGCGGTGATTTGGGGGTAACACATTTATCTCGTGCTGCCAAACCCCCGATAGCTCAGGGAAGCCTCCGCAGGGGTTTTTACGGTCGAGTTCAAACATCGAACCTGTGAATGACAACGAAAACCCATCAGCATTGAGCCTCGGTGACAATGCCGCGCTCATGAGTCCGAATTAGGGTGAAGCTGGTCCACAGTTGACCTGTCACCGCATCACTGCTGCCTGTCAGTTGGTCACATTTGCTCCAATTTATTTTGATGGTGATCTAAGACAAGCGGACAACAATGTGGCAGCACCTTCGGGAAACGCCGATGGGTTTTCAGTTTTTGCATAAAGCACAGGGGGGGGGGGGGCCCGAGTTTTTTTGTCTTTGTTTTTACGCGAGCGAGGGTCCGGTTTGAAACGCAACATCGAGACGAGAACCAAAGGGAGCCTCGGGCGCCCTCTCGGCCACCTGGCCAAGCCTCGGAATCACAACAAAGCACGGAGCTGATTTCCTTTCCGTAATTGGAAATCCATTGCCAACGGGGTGAAGCCATTAGTTATTCCCAATCGCAGTTTATGTTATTAGAAATTGAGGCAATTGTCAGTCGGGAGCCTTGTTCTTTAATTTTAATGGCCAAACGTCTGGAGTATGGGCATCGTTATATGCACAGCGGAGTGCCAGAGACTTGCAGGTGGTAAAGATTTAGGAATGCATTTTGTTTCAGAGATTGGTGCCAGAACGATGTGGCACTACTTAAGCGTATTGGCACAAGACAGAGGAGAGGAAAGTGTAAACAAATGACGAAATGTGCAGCGCACACCTCCGGGCTATCTGCCCATGGATTGTGACGACGATGATGATGATGATTCATTGAATATATATGCATCTAAAACTGTACTTAAATGTGCAACAGCTACGATAACGTTCCTAGCAGTGAGCAGACAAAGAGCGTATTTGTCATACGTGTGACACAAGTGCGCAGAGTATAGGGCAAAGGTGCAGCGCTGAAATTGCCTACTCATGCCACTGCTGGCGGAAGGGCCTCCCTTAATAGCGAGAACTCAAGAGAGCCCCTCCCGAGGGTGTTTTGGCCTACTCTTCCACACTCTACCCCACCGCACCACACGCGGATCTCCCGGCCAACTGACTGTGGTGTGCCTTTTTATACCGCTGGACGGACAGAGGCGAAGACGGCGATTCAAGGAACCCGCCCCACCGTGTCAACTGCCGCAGAGGAGATGGAACCGAAGCCGCGAAACCCCCGCATTGCAAGTCCACCGTGCTGACCGTTACACCGGGGGCAGCACATCTTGAATATATAACCGTGCTCAAATGTGCAATGGCTAAGATACTATGCCCTGGAGGTGAGGAGGTACCGCACGTAATGAATGAGGCCAGACAGAGAGAGTGCCATTTGTCATACAAGTGACCCGAATGGAGAGCATATGAAAAAAAATATATTCGCAGGGCGAATGTGCTGATGAGAATTATAAATACGAGCTATTATTAAATCACTTAATTGCCTTTCCTAAGCAGTTGGCAAGGGGAAAACAGTGTCTGTGCTGAGCTGGTGAGAATCCCTTTGAGCCAAATCTGCCCAGGGGGCAAGCTGCAGCATTGATAATTATGTAAATGTGACATATACACAAACACACAGCATTTTATCGACTGCTGGGGCCAGTGCAGTGAACATGCGCCTATGAAGGCCGGCACAGCACGCGAGGGGGTGGTGTGGCCGGTACCGGGATGCTGTAATTTTGTCTCCAGAGCGCTGATGTTTACACACTGCAACAGGCACTCATTTACAGCCGAGTCAACCGAGGGGAGGCCCAGGTTAAGAGCCCAGCACGGCAACCACTGCTGTCAGCGGTCACCTATGTAGGTCGCAACGGCACACGAGGAGGTGTGCGCCCAACACCTCGCCCGGCCGCCTTTGTCTCCCCAGTGGCGATGTTTACACACCGCACCAGGTACTCGTTTGAGGCCGAGTAGATTGAGAGGAGGCCCAGGACCGATTCAGATAATCCGTCACTCGTGTTGGCCGCGAGCGGGAATCGAACTCGGGTATCCGGGTTAGTAGCGCAGCGCGCCAACCGTTTCAACACCGCTCCACGCAGACACACACACACACACGCGCGCGCAGATTCAGCGAGATGTAATTTGTGACTCCCATTCATCTTGGCGGCCGTCACCTCAATTAGCCAAATGAGCGAGCCTTGGGTTTGCAGACTAATGATGGTCACCCGTGGGGAGTGCGCGACAGGCCCACGTCGCGTGACACGGCAAGATTGTCGTTCACTCAGCCTTAACGTCTCACGCCACCCCACGCACGCGCACAACCTGCGCCGCCGCCTGAGACGAGGCACTGGGACGCTGTGATGAATCAAAACGATTAATAGGAACGATGTTCATTGCGTAACAGGGCACGGTGAAAATAAAATTGGAACAAAACTGGCTGCTGCGTGGAATGTATGAAAAGGTTGTTGTCGTTGTTGTTTCTTTTCTGCAACAAAAGCCACCTTAAATTTTGATTTAAAGCTTTCGTGACTGCAGTAATTCATATTCTTAGTTCTTTCGGTAAAGTCACGTTGAAGGGAAACAACAAAATAATAAAATATATATAAAAGCCACCTTGAGAAAGAAACACTTTAATCCCATCCTCATGCCAATGACGTGCGCGTGTGCATGTCATCGGCTTTCCTTCCGATTCCGCTCCGATGAATCGGAAGAAAAACTAGAATTAAAGCAACTTTATCGGCACTTCTTCAGGTCGCAAGAAGTACCGAGGCTCCCACAAAGGGCAATGTGGGAGAGCGGAAAAGAGTTGAATTATCTGTCCTGGCCGCAGGCAACAAGTAAGGAGGCCACCATGAGACTGAGACATTTTACTGCACATCTGTGCAAAAGAGCTTCATAGCTCATCGGATTCCTCCAGTATAAATAAATATCCTGATTCTTATTCGTTGGCAAAGTTGGGAATTCTGCCATCGTGTGGCCCCGAACGAGGTGCGCTGGGCGACTTACGAGTGGAGCGTCTCACCCTCCTGGTCGACCATCAGGGTCGAGGGTTCCAGCCGGTTTTTGAGAATCGACAATTGCGTAACATTTCAGTGAATGGTAAACACCCAGGGCTTGATCTCTCACTGACAAAACAAGAGTTTGGGCCACAGGTGTGCCTCTAGACAGGACGGCAGACGGGACACGAGGCCTAAGTTAGGTGCAATGCTGTGCAGTAGCGGGGGGGGGGGGAGGGGGGGAAGGGAAAAAATATTTTCGGGGTCGCTGATCTCCGGGCAGACCCGGCTTGAAGCTAATCCCCGGTTGTACCTCGAGGTTACCGGCCGCGGTGGTGGCATGTACCGATCACGTACCACACGACGCGGTCGGATTCTTACCCGACTCAACGCAACGCGCCCGCGACGTTAACAACCGCGACACTCTCTGTGCAGCGGCAGGGAACCTAGCGATCTCGGCACGAACCTCGGCCGCGAGGAATGAAAGAGAGCGGGGGGGGGGGGGGGGGGGGGGATGGGGGGGGGGGGTGGGGGGTGGTTCCCCTACGCTGTGGTGGGGCCCCTCCGGGCCCGAGCGGGCCCCGGTACGGACGCATCGCCTGCGCGCTCAATCGCCGCTACGTCGCGGCCCCCTGGCAGGCAGCCGCGTGGGCGAGGAGAAGCGGCGGGTTACCGGTCGCGGTCGCGGCGACGGTCACACCGCCCTGGTGAGGTCCTCGATGTCCACCAGCATGGCATCCTGCTCCATGTGCAGCTCATCCCTCACCAGCAGCAGCTGCACCAGCTCCTCGTTCAGGCCTGGAGCGTAAAAACACGCACCGCACGCGACACACACGTACACGCGCACAAGTGACGCACACGCCCGCGCACCCTCTTTTTCCCGCCACAGCGCAACCGGGCCAGCCCGGCGTGGCCCTGGGTTGTTTTTTTATGACGCTGCTGAAGCCGAGCCGCGCCGCTCACGGACGCGCACGACGGCCTCGGGACCTCACGGCGAGCCGACCGACGTCACGCGCACGCGTCGGCCGCGTCATTAGAGCCCCGCCCCTGGCCCTGCTTGGCCACCCCCCCCCCCCACCCACCCGCCCCTCCAAGCCAGATTTATACGTCTCATGGAGGCGAGCGCGTCACGGCGTTTCGTTTGCGGCCACTCGGCACGGCCGAGACCAAGCATCTGGCCGTGACTCGCCGGTCAAAAAACCAACGGCGCGATGAGGCGGCTGGGCTCGCACACTCTCGCACAGCAGCAGAGTCAATAGAGATCACGAGGCAGAGAGGGAGCGGGAGGGGGGGGAGCAGTGTCGCTGCAATCGTGATCCACGGCGATGAAGAGCGCCGTGTATTAATTCCACTGTTTCCTCCTTCGCGAAGGGCTGGCCGTGGCCATGATGATGGAAGCGCTGCGTCGTGCTGCTGGGCCTTTGGGAAATTGGCGCGCTCAAATCCGGCCCACAGCACACGCTTTTAAATAGTTTATTCAAAAGGACTAAGTAGAAAGGTGCGGCCCTGGGATCAATTGCTCCTGGAGAGGCAGATCTCGTGAGCTCCCTATAAAGTGTATTTTATCTACTCTACCATGCTGGCTAGATAATTATGTTTGGAATATTTAGTTTTTAGATCGTGTTATTTATGCAACTGCATCACGCAACGCTGCACAATCAGCTAATTAAAGCGCATTCCTACAGGTTGGGGGAGACAGTTCCCCGGAGAAAACTCACACGTGCAAAGGAGCAACGCTCTATCCCATACACACTCTGCTGTACCCCTTCCTCCTCGACGGCCACGGGAAGGATGTTTCATAACATTTGTGCGATCCAACAACCCTCGCATCCACAATGCTCGATTACAGGCCACGTGCTTAGCCATTCGGGGGTGAGATGTTACTATCTCGCCTGGTATGCAGGAGGTCGTGTGTTTGATCCCGACCCCGACACCTGCATATTTGGAGTTTGCGTGTTCTCCCCGTGGTCGCGTGGATTTTTTCTCAGGATCTTCCGGTTTTTCCCCTCCACATTCAGAATCGACGTGCGTTTATCGTATTTGGCTGCTATAAATATCCACACGATGATAAGTCACTTTGTTGAGCGATCATATGTGGCCAGCCAGGTCACTTCCGGGGAAGAAAAAAAAAGGTTTAAGGTTTATATTATTACGTTGCTTGTTTGCAAAGGGAAGCCTCGTTGCGACTCTCGACTCTCCACCTGGGGGGAGTTTCGCAGCCGTGTGCAGCGGATGACGATGTGGAATCTCAATTGCGTCATCTTGCGGGTTTTTTTTTTCATCTTTCAACATTGGGATATTTTGACCAGCTCTAGTAGCACGCATGTTTTACTATTGTTTCATCGGATATTCATTTGCTTTAAAGCTATTGCGAGGAAAATGGAGAACCCAGAGGAAAGCCGTGCAGGACAGGGGGGCAGAACTTACGAACTGCGCACAGAGCGGCGCCCGAGATCGGGAATCGAGCCCAGGCCTTCCTTTCCGAGCGTTGCGACAGGGCGTGACCCTGCCACCGAGACTGTTTGACAGTCTAAACGACGGAATCACCGACAGGCATGGGCAGCCTCTTGAGATTTACTGGGCGTCCGCCACCTCATTGCAGGCAACGGCAACGGCGGACGTTTTATGTCACCGGTGCGTCCGTTAAATCTGTCAAATCTGTCCGTCCGTGTGCTCACAGAAATTCCCAGGTTTAATGGCGACAATAAATTGAAAGCAGCTGAAACCAATGGAGCTGCAATTCTTGCCTTTAATGGTGAGGGAGGGGGGGGGGGGGACGATTGTTGGTTACAGAATGAAAAAATAAAATAACAGATGCTCTGAAGTAAAAAGAGAAAGAAAATAATAAATTTTAATATTTAAGCGTGGCGCTAAAATGTTTGAATTATTAATCACGAGCAATGGGCGCAATATTGCGCAAAGTTGCGGGGCATGTATTTTACGCTTAATTAACAAGAAGAAGCAGTGTCTGATGGTAGCACTAACAAAAGCTTTCTACGTTAACGGGAGTATTATTAAGAATTTGGAAACAGTTATAGGAACACACAAATTAATTCGGACGACAATTACGGCTTTTGCCACGGTAAAAAACTAAAAAAAGAAAATAATAAAAATCCCATTACGCTTCGAGTTCAAACGGAAATGAAATTCAGAGAACGTGTTTGGGCGCCACAATAGGAGCGCCCCACATCCCCCCTCCAGGATTGGCGAAATGGACCTAATGACCCTGCAATTGCTGATGAGCACAAGCACTTTCCACTCCTGCTCCTCACCATGATAGCATGAGGGCGGCGGCGGCAGCAACAGCAAAAAAGAAAAGTCTGTTGTTTATTTCGCCTTTGCACTCCGACCCGCTGAATGTTCAGCGGAGGAGCTGGGTGGCACTCGAAACCGAGCCAAACGTTTCACTTCACCAGGTCAAGGCCCCGCTGACCTCCGTGGCTTTTTCTTTCAGAAGTGACCTGGATTGTCCCAAACGATAGCCCAACGAAGTTGGCTCATCACCGCGTGGGAATTGATAGCGGCCACATACTCCGTGACGTTGATTCTAAATGCGGGAGGGAAAAACCGGAGGACCCGGAAAAAATCCACGAGACCACGGCCCAGAGAGGCACCAAATGTATAGGCGTCCGGGTCGGGATCAAATCCACGACCGCCTGAATACCAGGTGAGGTAGTTAACATCTCGCCACCACGGCGCCCTTTGTCACTGGTGCACAGGTGTCGCTGCTTCTGTCTCCCACAGCCTGGAGTCGCACTTCAGACTCGAGACTTAATTTCAGCCGCCAAGGCCCATTGAGTTAATCATCTCCTTTACAACGACGACCGGCGGCCTGCATTATAATTACGCTACTTGTAAAATGAAATGAGCCCGCCTGTATGATGGTAAATGAACTCGCTGTGTGCTGCTGCAGAGCAGTATGGGTAAAGAGCCAACGTGAGCAGATCTCCGGCTCTGGGTATCGACATAAACAAAACATTTTGATTTAAAGCTTTCGTGACTGCAGGGATTCATATTCTTGGTTCTTTTGGTAAAGTCACGTAGAAGGGAAACAATAAAATAATAAAAATATAAAAAATAAAATTCTCACGATGTTTCGACTGCAAGAAAATTTTCTTGCTGTGGTTTTCACACCTGATGATGATTGCTTGTTGAAATTTTCTTGCTGTGGTTTTTACACCTGATGATGATTGCTTGTGTTGCAGTCGAAACGTCGTGAGAATTTTATTGTTTTATATTTTTATTATTTTACTGTTTCCCTTCTACGTGACTTTACCGAAAGAACCAAGAATATAAACAAAACTTGTTTGTGTATCAATGCTATTCAGTAGCATTCGTCCGAGCAAGAAAGATTATAACCGTCTGGGTCTCATCCGCAGAGCCAGGCTGCTTGCTTAACCGCTGTTTGGAAAGACAATTTGTCTGATGGACGAAAGAAATCCCTTTGTTTACAAGTAGAGGCACATAATGGAGTTCTGCCCAGATACGCTTTGACTGCTGCTATAATTTAGAGCTTAAAGGTGGGCTTACACCATCGAGATGTCTGACCCACAATAAGACCTTTGCACCCTGCTATAATACATTAACTTCACCTTGGCAACTGACAATGCCTTCATTGGAATTGCATTGCCCATTAAAGGCCCCTTAATGGTCGCACGAACACCCATCGAAGGGTAGGAGCAACAGCAGGAGGTGGGCCTGAGGAACGCCGACGGCTACGGCGTGGTCATGGCGGCGAGGTGCCACCAAACAGCGATGCGGCAAAGAGCAGCGGCAGCACGAGAGGCAGGCGAACCGAGGCAGGGGACGAGCGCGGCAGAGTTGGACAGACGGAATAGAGGAGGAGGAGACGGCACGGGAGTGGAGAGTGCTGGCAGTGAAGCATCAGCAGCGGATGGGATACGATGATGATGACGGTGATGACGGTGATGACGATGATGACGATCACAAACAGCGGTTGACTTCTACTGCTGCAGTCCCCACCCTCGGAGCCACAGCTCCCCCCCCCCCCCCCACCCACGAATCCCCCACGGGCGTCGCTGCCCAGCGAGCGACCTTACTCTCGATCTGGGAGTGCAGATCGTTGACGATGACCTGCAGCTGGCCCAGGGTCATCTCCTGCATGTCGGCCGGCTTGAGGCTCCTCTTCATCAGGCTCTCGCTGATGTGCGGCAAGTGTGGCAGCTGCAGGACACGCAGACACGCGCGGACACACGCAGACACACGCAGACACGCGCAGACACGCATGCACTCAATAGATGACGACCCAGCGTCGAAACGATAAGACGTTCCAACGGCTTAACGCCTTACTCTTTGGTTCTATTCGGTAAAGTCAAGTAGGTAAAAATAAAATAACAAAAAATCACGACGTTTCGGCCACAACACAAGTGGCCTTCATCAAGTGAAGGGACTGGACTGTCCAGAGGACACCGTTGGAGTGAAGACAGCAAGCCCAGGTCGCGTCCTTTAAGCTGTGTGGGAGGAAACAAAAGAACAAAAAAACGCCTTGACAAAGGAATTAGCATAAAATGATGTACTGGACCGGCACGGTGGGGGGGGGGGAGTTTACAAAATGTTGGTGTGAAGGGAAATAAGCTGCTGTGAAAGTTTGGAATACCACTACTTGCCCGTGTTTTCGCCGGAATTGTGACTATTAAAACGTGGCGAAGGGCAAAGTTGAAGGCTCGCAATGACTGGCTTTATAAAGTAAAGCAACTTTTTTTTAATATATATTTTGCCAGCTAAAGCCCACTGAACTATGTAGCTCTTTTTCAGAAGCGACCTGGCCACGAATGACAGCTCGATGAAGTAGCGGGACGTAACATTAGAACAAGACTAAAAGAACACCAGAGGAACATTACATTCTCCCAATGACAGCTGTCAGCAGGGGCAGAGCATGCTTGCCCACAAGGACATTCAATTGGTTTTGGTAACGTTGAAGTGTTATGCAGAACAAATGATTACTGGCCAAGATTAGTTAGAGAATCAATTGAAATTGAGAAGAATTCAAATAATTTCAACCGCTGTGATAGCTATTGACTCAGCGCAGCCTGGAAGCGTATTATTAAGTAATACACAACACATATTGCAATTCCTTACAGGTGAGTCACATGCTAAGGGGCTGATTACTGATCTATTACATAATTGCATAACACCACCACACCCCACCTCCGCCTCTGATCTCGAACCCTGATGGGGTTCAACAAGGATGACGTCATCCTGCACTATTCAAGACCGGAAGCAGGTGGATGGCTTCACTATTCTGGAAAATCGCCCGACGATGCTGGATGTAATTTCCAGCGAAACGTCGTACTACTCAAATTGTAAATGTTGTGGATCCACTCTTCAACACACCGGTGGGCGAAAGTAGTGAACCGTTTTGTCTTTTGTCAACGTGACACTTTGTTTACTGATTGGCCGTGTCGGGTGGTGGAGGGTTGTGACACATTTATAAATAACGCGATCTAACCCAAGAACCTTTATTATGAATAATACTGGCCGCGAAAGCCTACGTGTTAAATGGTGGTCGTGTCACTACAGTGGTGGTCATGCCACTACAACGGTGGTCGTGTCACTACAATGGTGGTCGTGTCACTACAGTTCTCCGAGAGATGCTCTCTCTCTTTAGCGCAGCGATCATGCTCAGCGAGTATAATTTAGCCTCCGCCAGCGGCGCTGGCGGTTGCGGCGGCGGTGTTCGAAAGCGGCACTCGGCAACGCATCGCCGGTATCGGGGGGCGAGGGGGCATCGGGGGGGCTAGGGGGTATCTGGGGGCTTGGGGGTATTGGGGGGGCAAGTGCTGTTAGTGAGCACCGATGAAGGTCGGCACGGCACGCGAGAGCTTGGGTGGCCAACATCACTCCCGGCCACCTTTGTTCCCCCAGAGTGGCGACAATTTCCACGCAGCAGCAGGCGCTCATTCGAAGCCGGGTCGACCTAGCGGAGGCCCAGGACCGGTCCCGATGATCGTACGCTGCGCGAAAGAAGTCCAACGCACACGAATCTAATTCGGAGAGGCGTTCTGGCGGGGTACCTACAAATGGATCACCTTGTCCCGACCGGCACCGGCCGCCGTGCTCCCTTTAGCCACCTGCGAGCCTCAAGACGATAAACCCCACGGCATCGCCGAACGACACGAGCGCCGGGGTACCTCGGGGGGAGGGGCGGGGAGGGGGTGCGGCCGTTCGTTCCCCCTTGCGCTCCGTTCACGCTCGGCCCCCTCATTTTCTACGATTCGGAATCGTCGGCGTTATCTGCAAGGGCCCCCCGGGGCGGCGTGCGCGATCGTTTATTCGCTCTCGTCTATTACGCCGCATTGATACGCCGCAAGACGTCGCAGAGCAATGCCTTAATCTGATCGCCGGGTGTGCTCCGGTGGGTCTTTCGACGTAATGACTGCCTGGACCTTGCCCCCGTGGAAGCGCATTATGCACTCCCGTAAATTGGCCTTCTCCAACCAAATGGGCCCTCGTGATAAATCGCAGCCCGAACGGCTCACTGTTGCTTTTGTGCCATCGTTCCGGGATTCACTAGGGTTCGCCGAGCAGCACGCTCGAGTGCGAGCGCTGGGGCCTCATGATCCCCTTTCAGTGACACCCCCCCCCCCCCTCCCCCCCCCCCCCGGAAAAACCCGCGCGTCCACGCACGATCGTCGCGCCAGACTTTGAAAATTGTTGCATTAGTACTCGTACCGGGTCTGCCTTCGCTCTGACATCCCCTTTCCGAGCACAGGAACCGATGCTACAACACAGCCGTGCTCAGAGCAGCACAAGCAATGTCTGACGGGATCTGGACGAACACTGCCAGGCTGGTCCTCAGTGCGTGGCTAAGATTGCTTCCGGGTTGGGTTAAGAGCAGTGCTATCTTGCACGCGTGCATGTTGAACTTCTTTCGTACCGTACGTAGCCAAACCGCGTTAATCTGAGGTGCGGGGGAAGGAAATAAATTAGTTTGTCAATCTAGATGATGATTTAAAAGTGCATAGCTCCCAGTGGTTTACTAATATCGGAAGGAGGAGCGTTCCAGACGGCCGCGGAAGCACATCCGAAAGCACGCGACGCGGTGACCGTCTTTGCTCGATGGCTAGCCAGCTATCTTGTTCGATGGCTAAGCTAGTGGTGGGGTAGTGCTCGTTGCAGTATTGTCCCACGTGGTGGGCACGGTGTGGTTGGCATGGGCCCTAAAACCATGGAAAGCATTGGGGGTTCCTCTGTCTTTAGCCCAGACACTCGGGCTCCCTCCATTCTGTGCAGTTGCTCTGCCTGCAGATTGAATATATACAGGGTGCTTAACAAAAAAAAATGTGAACACTTAAATGGGACTATCGTTTTTGATGGAAAAAGAACGGATAACACACTGTAACATGACAACAAATGTACGTTAATAGCTTCAAGAAGTCAAAGAGTCGCCACTTGTTCGCCATCATTGTCAACGCGTTGCCTGGAATCCTCTCCAGGTGGTCTCCAGAGCCCGGAGGCGGCAGCACATTTCTCGTGGAATTGTTGCAAATTCTCGGAAGTGTTTACAGTTTTTTTTTTTTAAAGCGCCCTGTGTATGCCACTGGTCGCATCTGGCATTCGGCTTCGGCTAGTCGGCGTGCTGCCTCATAGCAAAGCGAGCAGTGTGGTTGGACTCGGAGGAGTGTTAACCTATGGCCAATTAAGTGTTGGGCTTGAGCTCATGGTGATTGCTGTTGCACCGCTTCATAGCTATGCCACTAGTGCTATGGCTATGTTAGGGTTGTGTGGTTAGGCTAGGAACAATTTTGTTCCATTTTTAATCTAGCATTGGGGATGGGGGGCTAGGTATCAGTGTCAGCCTTTGGCTACCCTATCTTTGGGTTGGGCCAGGTCAAGTGTAGTCCTTGCGCCTAATCTGGCATTCTGGTGGGGGGAGGGGGGGGGGGCACACGCAGCGCTGTTCCATAGCTCAGCTCGTGCTGAGGATGGGCGAGGTCAGGGGTCGGCAAGCTGCGGCAGCGGAGCCGCGCGTGACGCCATCATTCGGGTGCATTGCGGCTCTTGAAATATCGCGTTGTTTTTCTTGTTGCTTGTTACCGAATTCGAAAGAAACAAGCCAGGCTCTTCTGTGTTGAATTTTGATGTAAAGCTTTCGTGACTGCAGTAATTCATATTCTTAGCTCTTTCGGTAAAGTCACGTTGAAGGGAAACAATAAAACAATACAATATATATAAAACAATAAAAATTCTCACGACGTTTCGATCATCACCTGATGACGACCGTTTGCGTTATGGTCGAAACGCCGTGAGAATTTTTATTGTTTTATATATATATTTTATTACTTTATTGTTTCCCTTCAACGTGACTTTACCGAAAGAGCTAAGAATATTATTAATCTTCTGCGTTGCTTTGGTTTTGCCGACCCCTGGGCCAGGTTCGGTGTATCCCCCGTGGCCGAGCCAGTGTTGCGGCCGGCCCCAGGGGGGGACAGCCGTTGCGGCGGTGCCGAGCTGTCGCTCGCGCGCTCACTCACCAGGTCGGCGACGGGCGACTTCTTGCGGTTCTGCTTCTCCACCTCCACCTGCATGCGCGCCATCGGTCGTGCCATGGCGAGCGCCAGCTTGGCCTCGGCCTGCAGCTTGCGCTGGCACGCCGAGAAGTCGAGCCCATCGAGGGACTCCGACTCCGAGTCCGTGCCAGCCTCCGAGTCGGCAGAGTCGCGCTCTGAATACGACGAGCTCTGCTTGCTCTGCGCGGGGAACACCAGAGGCGGGGTGGGGGGTGGGGGGGGGGGATGGTGTAGCGGTTAGCGCTACACTGCGCGGTGAACCCGGGTTAAATTCCCGCCCATGGCCAACACCGGTGACGATTGCCTGAACCGGTCCTGGGCCTCCCCTAGGTCGACTCGGCCTCAAATTAGTACCTGGTGCGGTGTGTAAACATCGCCAGTGGGGAGACAAAGGCGGTCGGGCGTGGTGCTGGCCACCCATCACCTCGTGTACCGTTCTGGCCTTTACAGGTGCTCGCTAACAGCACTTGCCCCTACAGTCTGTTAAGGCTATACGGGGGATCTTTGTCTTTGGTCGTGGCGAGCGTGGTGGTGGTGATGGTGAGTGTGGTGGTGGTGATTGTGAGTGTGGTGGTGGTGATGGTGAGTGCGGTGGTGGTGATGGTGAGTGTGGTGGTGATGATTGTGAGTGTGGTGGTGGTGATGGTGAGTGTGGTGGTGAGCGTGGTGATGGTGGTGGTGAGCGTGGTGGTGATGGTGGTGAGCGTGGTGGTGATGGTGGTGAGTGTGGTGGTGGTGAGTGTGGTGGTGGTGAGCATGGTGGTGGTGATGGTGGTGGCGGTGAGCATGGTGGTGGTGGCGGTGGTGGTGAGTGTGGTGGTGGTGGTGGTGGCGGTGAGCATGGTGGTGGTGGTGGTGAGTGTGGTGGTGATGGTGAGTGTGGTGGTGAGCGTGGTGAGTGTGGTGGTGGTGATGATGGTGAGTGTGGTGGTGGTGGTGAGCGTGGTGGTGGTGGTGAGCATGGTGGTGGTGATGGTGGTGGCGGTGAGCATGGTGGTGGTGGTGAGTGTGGTGGTGGTGGTGTGAGCATGGTGGTGGTGATGGTGGTGAGCATGGTGGTGGTGGTGAGTGTGGTGGTGGTGAGCATGGTGGTGATGGTGGTGAGTGTGGTGGTGAGCGTGGTGAGTGTGGTGGTGGTGAGTGTGGTGGAAATGTGGTGATAGGATAACACGTGATGATGATGCTGCAAACAAAAAACACTAAGATCAGCGTGACACTTGGTTTGGCTAAATTCCAGCTCTGAGAATAAAGAATATTCTTTTCATTTCCACTCCGGTTAGCACGGTTGGCTACGTGCAGTGCGAAAGAAGTTCTGCACACACATACCGTGAGGGAAAAAAGTATTTGATCCCCTGCTGATTTTGTACGTTTGCCCACTGACGAAGAAATCATCAGTCTACAATTTTAATGGTAGGTTTATTTGAACAGTGAGAGACAGAATAACAACAACAAAAATCCAGAAAAACGCACGTCAAAAATGTTATAAATTGATTTGAATAAATTTTACCCCTCTGCAAAACATGACTTAGTACTTGGTGGCAAATCCCATGATGGCAATCACAGAGGTCAGACGTTTCTTGTAGTTGGCCACCAGGTTTGCACACATCTCAGGAGGGACTTTGTCCCACTCCTCTTTGCAGATCTTCTCCAAGTCATTAAGGTTTCGAGGCTGACGTTTGGCAACTCGAACCTTCAGCAGCTCCCTCCACAGATTTTCTAATCACCCGATGATATTCAACCGCCGCTAGGGGAAGATCGAACTGGCTACCTCTGGACTCCAAGCGCGGTGTGCTTTATTTATAATAATAATAAAAGCAAGCCCCCCCCCACCCCCACCCACACCCCATAAATCCGCGGCTCAAGGTGGGATTCGCTTTAAGATGTCGCTTGCGATGCGACGCTCGTTGTGCACGCACCACAAGGGAGGCGACGGCGTGAATCCCATTAGCGCGTCACTTTTCCCTCGCCCCCCCACCACAACCGCCCGCGTCCATCAAGAGCGAGCGAGCTGCCCGCCCGCCGGCCCGCCTGCCGGCCCGCCCGCCGGCCCGCCTGCCGGCCCGCCTGCCACTTCAATCGGCCCCCCACGCCGCCGACTCACGACGCGGAACGCTTCAAACGAGCGGCAGATTCATGAGCGGTCGGGGACGCGACATCGCGCCGCAGACAGACACCGCCCTCGCCCTCGTGCCGCGGCCGCGGCCGGTAACCGTCGTCGTCCCGCACGGACGCTGCCGCTGGGTGGGCCGGAGGTCCGTGGGGGTGCGGGGGGGAAATTGAAGAAAGTTGCTCCGCTGACACCCGGCTCAGCCTCGCAAAACGAGATTCTCCCCGCCTCTTTGAAATTCTCACCCGCTTGAGATGAAACTCGATTGCAACCGCCGCGCGGAGAGGCCCCGGCCGGCGAACGCCGGGCGGGCCGCGAGCCCGCTTGCGCCGTCGTCGCACCGTGTCGCCGTCGGCCCGCGGTGGAGCGGTGGCGCAGCGGTTAGCGCACTTGCGATAACGGACCCGGTGACCTCGGTTTGACTCCCAGCCACACGGCTAACATCGGCGATGAGTGACGTCCGATTCCCCGCTGGGCTCCTTACCTCTCCACCCATCACCAATTCGCCTGACCCAGTATGGTGAAGCATGGTCAAGCAGCACCCATGACCGATACGATGTGGGGCAGTCTTCATCCAGCAAGTGCATTGACCATGATTGGCTGTAAAGTATTATCATCACACCTAATTCGCCGCCCGCATTCAAATCTAGACGAGGGCTTGGCCAGTTTATTTTTGTTTTTCACAAAGGGAATTCCAGCCAACAAATAATACCAGGATAATGTATGCACGGCAACAACAACAACAGCAACATTGCGAGGCAAACATAGACACGCACGCACGCACGCACGCACTCACATGCCGGTGGCGTTTAACACACGGCAATAAAACAAAGCATTCGGAATAATGGCACTGATTAAACGCAGGGTCCCGTGACATACGGTCCGATTATGCGGCCGTTATTGACGATGCCTTCAACCTTCGGCTCGCCAAAAAAAGAACCACCACCCCCCCCCCCCCCCCGCCTCCCATACCCCCCCCCACCCCCTCTCCCCACGCCACGCGCGTCGTCCCGAGCCGCGTCGATCCGGGCGCGCGAGCACGACGGAGCGTGCCGCCGCCGCCGCCGGAGCCGTCGGTGCCGTTGCACTCACTCTCGTAGTTCGGTGATAACGCCGCTCGACGTTCCAGAAGTCGCCGTCGTGAGAGCGAACCGGGCCCCGTCCTTGCCGCCCGCGGTTCGGACGGAAGCTGCGGAGGCTCGGCGAGCGGTGGCGGTGTGCGACGGTAATCTCGACCTGGCCATGGGTTTATTCTGAGTCTCCGTCCTCGGGGGGCGGAGGGGGGGTCTTTGGTTCCGATCCCCCTCACCGCTGGTGGATTTTTGCTCTACGGGCCTTAGTCGACTCAAGCCGTCGGACATTGGACCCCCACTCTTGAAGTTATTGTCGGGGTTAGGAGTGGCGCAATCCGCGTCACCTTCAACCAATATCATCAGGTCAGCCAATCCGCGAACTCAGTTTGCTTCATTGTGCCACTGTGCGCGTATGTATATATGTTGAACTTTGTTCGCACCACCGCACGTAGCCACCCGTGCTGATCGGAGGTGCGGGAGAAGGACAACAAGCTAAACAACTAAACGCAGTTCTTAAAGAAGTGAGTTTTCATTCTCGATTTTAAAGTGCATCACAGCTCCCAGTGGCTTCCTAACATCGGAAGGAAGAGCGTTCCAGGCGGCCGCAGAAGCGCGCCTGAGAGTGCGCGATTGGGGTGAACCGCCTTTGTTCGACGGACAGCCAGAAGCCGCTGCTCGCGAGGATGACCGGCGTCCTCGTGATGATGGTTCAGCGACGCTGCGACTCGCAACATTTGCGCAATATTCCGCCGGGCAACATTAATTTCCCATCAGTGTACGTTGAGCTTTTCCCGCGCCATACGTAGCCAACCGTGCCGATGGGAGGCGCGGGGGATAGGACAACAGTCGCGTGCGAGCGGTTTGTTCGGCCATCCGTCTTGTTTCCGCCGTCTCGTTGTGGTGGTCAAGTTCCCGAAGAAGCTTCCAGAACGTGGAGCGACACGCCGGACATCGTACCTGGCAACGCGGGGGCGCAAGCCGCAAGCAAATCTCCGCGGCACAACCGCGAAAAACCTACGCGGCCACATTTATTTACTCTCATTATTATTATTATTTAGATTCATAATCGCTTTCTTTCGTCTTACGTCGAGTAGAAATGTGCATCGTGTCCCAAAACAAACGAATGATGAATTAAAAATATTGGTCGTTAAAGCCTGCGTGCAGAATAACTATTCAGCTCAACTCGCATTTCACCGCTACTGCCGCTGAACCGATAATTTGGGAACAATCTTACGCGGAGGAAATGCGCCGCGTTTACGGCCATTAGGCTGCGGTCAACCCGAACCTCGCGAGACAACGCCGTCCGTGTGCGAGAAAAACCGTGCCAAGCCCGAGTGACCACGCCCCCAAAATGCCGACAGTGGTCTGCCCCACGTGCGGCGTCGCGTGCGCGCGACGGGTGACGTACCACCGGGGAGAGGGGGGTGTCGGGGCTCGCGTCGGTCTTGCTGCTGTCGTCGGCGTCGCTCTCCTTGTCGCTGCCGCTGTCGTTGACGAAGCAAATCTGCAGGTTCATGCCGCTCTGCAGCCTGCGGCACAGCAGCGCACCGCCGGACCGTCGTCAGCGCACCGCCGGACCGTCGTCAGCGCACCGCCGGACCGTCGTCAGCGCACCGCCGGACCGTCGTCAGCGCACCGCCGGACCGTCGTCAGCGCACCGCCGGACCGTCGTCAGCGCACCGCCGGACCGTCGTCAGCGCACCGCCGGACCGTCGTCACTGTTCCCGCGTCTCTCCGCGTTTTCCTACGTCTGTTTGTTAACCCCTGCTCGTCTGTTAGCTCGTTCCTATGTCTGCGTGTCAATGTTTATTGTCTGTTCATTCGTCCGGTCCATCTGGTGCAAGGAATAAAATGGGGGTGGGGTGGGGTGGGTGGGGGGGTAAGAAGGTGGGGGGGCATCCGGCTCCCTCCCCCGTGCTGTTGCACCGCCTGCACTCGCGACGGCGACACCACGGGGCAGCAGCGTGTTCTCTTGGGGGCCGCACCGTGGCGAGGAGGTTCAGTGAGAGCCAACGTTCAGTCCGAGGTTCGTGCTTTGGGTGCGACTTCTCAATATGTTTACCCATTTTGTTCGGCAGCAGGGTTTTCATTCGCTCGGTGCGCATGCGTGCCTGTGTGCTGGGCTTCTTCCGCGCCGCGCGTAGCCAGCCGCGAAGATGGGGTTTGCTCCTCACGTACAATAAATGTGCGGCGTTGTGGGATGCTTGTTGCCATGAATGACGCCGTTTAAAATGAAAGTATTATTAACGCTAGGCATCAATGTCAGTTCTGTGTGCAACTGTAGCTTTATCCTCTCTCTCTCTATGTCCATGTGCGGCATGCTACGTCAGCCGTGCCAAAGTCTACGTCTCCCTCCCCCCCGTCAGCCGGTCTCCTGCGCGTCTGCCAGTGCACTTCTCTTTATAGGCATCTCTCCGCGAGGCCCTCGATTTGCCGCGCGTCACGGAGACGCGCGGCGTGGTTGGCACGGGGCCCCGCTGCGTGGAATTTATTCAAGGGAGGCGCGGCCGCGCCGTTGCTTTTAAAAGGCGTTGTGCTCGCCCGTGCCACACGCCGTCCCGCGTGGCCTTGTGGGAGCCTCGGTGCCGGTGAAGTTGCCTTGCTTTAGTCACGGGAGTCATGTACGGCAGAATTCCCAAACTTGGCCAACGAATGTCTCGGTCTCGCTGTGGCCTTGCCGCCTCCGACCGGAAGACGTACCGGTAAATGCATTTTATTTTATTTTTTCTTCCGATTCATCGGGACGGAATGGGAAGATAAACTGATGCTGTTGACCTATAAAGCTTTTGAAGGGCTTACTGCACATTAGAGGCCGTCCATAAATGACGTCACACACCTGGGGAGGGGACGGTCAGATATTTGTGACGATGTGTGACTAGGGGGGGAGGGGGGGTTTGAGGAATGTGACATCACATCAAAATGCGCAACTTTAAAAAAAATAAACAAAGGAATTGTTATAACAACACTAATTTAGATTAATTTTCATTATTAACTATTTGATTATTTAAATTTACGAAGGTCACCTTTTAATTATTCCATGAAGGAGCATTTTGCTTCTCCATGGGAGAATGTAGAAGCATATATTTTGTAAATGTTTTCAATGATTGTTATTAAACATTTTGATTTTTATGATTCTACCAGGGCTTTTCATTCTGTGGAATGACTGATTTTTATAATTGTACTCTCCATTTTGCTTCGTTCTACTACAAAGTTTCAGGTATTTTTTTACATTTTTAATTGCTTTTAATATTTTATAATTACAAGAGAATTTCAATATAATAATCTGAACATCTGCAGTTTTAGTTAGACTTTGAATATTTTCAAATGAATTTTATGCTAAATTTCAGCTTTCCAATGCCTCCTTTTTAATACGTGTTTTCTCCTACAACATCAGAGTGCAGCGCCACATTAAATACGCACTACAATCACAATAGTTTAAAGCGATTTGAAGCATGTTTTATTTTTAAAATGGAAATATGGTTTTGGGGCGGGGGGGGCAGAGCTTTGTGACGTCATATTTGAGGGGGGTCTGACTTTTGTGATGCCGTGTGATGAGGGGGGGAGGGGGGGGGGTCAAAAATCGGCCAAAATCGCGTGACGTCATTTATGGACGGCCCCGAAAGGCAAAATCCCTTGCAGGAACTGATACATTTATATATTCCACCAAAGTCCTTAAGATCTTCTGATCTCCAACTGCTCAGCACTTTTAATGATCGGGCTTTTGTTAGCGTGGCACCCAAACTGAGGAATACCTTGCCACTTGAAATCAGGCAATCGGAGTCGGTATTAATAAAGCTACCTCGGCTGTCGCACCACACGTAGCTTCGGGTCTTCTCGGCCACAGTCGTGCCCTCCCTACTCTTTACTTGCGAAACGTGGACCCCCCCTAATGGAACATCTTCACCAGTGAGAAACATTTAGGCTGCCCTACCACACACACCGCACACACGCACACACCACACACACACAACACACCAAACAACACAACACACACATCACACACACACCACCGCACACACACCACACACACCGCATACACCGCACACACACCACACACACACACACACTGCACACACACCACACACACTACGCACACACACCGCACACACACCACATACACCACACACACACACCACGAACACCACACAGACACACACACTACACACCACACAACACACACACCACACACACCCCCCACACACACCCCTCGCACACACACCGCACACACACCACACACACCACACCGCACACACACACACTACACACACACCACACACACACACACCACACACACACTACACACCAACCACACACACACTACACACACACACCACACTACACACACACCACACTACACACCAACCACACACACCACACACACTACACACATTACACACACACACACCACACACACACACCACACACACTACACACATTACACACACACACACCACACACACACACCACACACACTACACACCAACCATACACACACCACACACACACACACCACACACACATACTACACACACACCACACACACTACACACACACCACACACACTACACACACACCACACTACACACACACACCACACACACTACACACACACCACACTACACACACACACCACACTACACACACACTACACACACACCACACACACACGCTACACACACCACACCACACACAGGTGGATGTTCCATCACCTGGACGAGAGGCTCGGCTTCCCGCTCTTGCTGCAGTTTGTGTAGATGCCGGGGCCATCGTCGAAGAAGCCTCCCAGGGCGAGCTTCTGGCGGATCGACTCACGCTCGTTCCTCTGCGCCTGTCAAGAGGCAAGGCCGGGGGTGGGGGGGGGGGGCGTGGAGGAGGGGGGGGAGCGGGGGGACGGTGGGGGGGGGGCGTGGAGGAGGGGGGGGAGCGGGGGGACGGTGAGGGGGTTAAACTCCTCGGCGGGTTATTGACTGCGGGATTCGACGTCCAAGGCCAAGCGTGGGGGGCATCTGGGGACAAGCCGCCACGTGGGGCTGCTGCTGTCACGTGAGCCCCCCCCCTCTCCCCCCGCGCCCCCCCCCCCCCCCGAAGTGCCGGGAATCGTGAACGCGCGCCCCGGGTGGGGAGGGGGTCACGCGAATCGTGAAATTTGCAGACATTCAGCGAAATCTTGGGAAATGGCTGCAGATGCTTAATGTGTTCAGTGCGGTGCTTCGCTCTGTGTCATTGCAAAAATACGATACATTGGGGGAGGCGAGCGGTGGGGGGGGGGGCGATGGGACACCCACCACTTCATTTCGTGAGCTCACCGTTAATGATTGTTTTTTTTTTAACCGAACCTCTGTGCTGTTGAATTTTACGAAAAGAATCACATTGGCAAAAATCGTTAAAACCTTGCAACTCAATTGACACGTGTGTGTGTGTGTGTACAGAGTGCGGGGAGTGGTTGGCGCAGCGCTTAGCGCTCCGAAGCCGGCAAGTGATAAATAAACTGGTCCTGGGCTTCCCCTAGGTTGACTCAGCCAGATAAAGAGTTCTATGCCTGGTGCGCATGGTTTTTCGCCCTTCATTGAAGCTCGCGAACAGCACTTGCCCGAGCAGTCCATGAGGCTACACGGGCATATGTCAGCACGTGTGCATTATACAGGTTTAAACCTGTACTGTAATTTAATCGAGATTCCTACAACATTACATTCTGAATTGTGAATATAAAGTTACTCTTTTTCTTATCAAATAAAGTTGCTTTGCCATCTGGGATTCACCCACGAGGAAAGAAAAAAGGCACATTTATCAAAGGTTTGGGTTGTGACCCAAGCCTTGGAGATACAAACCAGGGCAAAATGGAAATGTGAAAATATTCACGTGTTTTGCCCTGACTGCTACCTTGACAATTCAAACATCCGGAGGACAAATGCACGTTCGAATGTGTTACACAATACGCTGTTGCGTCTGCATTTTCTTTCCGAACAATTGTATTTTAACAGCAATCAATTATCTTGTTGTTTTTTTCTCTCTCGATGCAATCGCCGACGCTTCGGGCAATGGTCCTGCTTCAGAACACATAAATGCCAACGTCGCCCAATTTATATATATATTTCTATTGTTTTACTTTAAAAGCCACACACAGTGTGACCGACACACGTGTTGAGGTCATGTGCTTTGTTATTTGTGCTTTGCACCGTCGTAAACGCTGCGGCGGCAGTAGCAGCGGCAGCATCACCAAATAATGTTTTTTTGTTTACGGAGCAATACACACGACGCACAAATAATATAAGGTCCACTGACCTATATGAGTTCTCATTAAATACATATTACCCATCAAATGATTTAGTAATCTCTCTTCATAATGGAAGCACAGCAAAGCCACGAAGTGATACAGCTCTTTTTTAGAAGCTACCTGGCCACAAATGATAGCTCAACAAAGTGGCTTATCACAATGTGGAAATATTTACATCAGCGGCCAAACACCCTGAAGGCATGTTTCTAAATGCGGAGGGAAAAAAACCCGGAGGACTCGGGGAAGAAAAAAAAAACCATTCACGCGACCACGGGGCGAGAGACACCGCAAACTCCAAATACGCAGCAGGCGTCAAGGGGTTCGGGATCGAACCCAGGTCTTCCTGCCGTTAACATCTCGTCACGGCGGCGCCCGTAAGATGAACGACGCAACGCTGCGACGAGGGCAACCGTGCGGGCAGCGAGCGGGCGCCGCCCACGACCCTGCTGCTGCCGTCACCGCTCGTGAGCCTAAATGGGTAATTTCGTCGTGGATTTCGCGTTGGAAAAAAGCAATGTGGGGGTCTTACAACAAAGGACGCGTTTGTGTCATTGATGGCGAAGTGAGTCGGCGGCAGCTGGAAAGGAAGGCGCGGGGAGAAGTGACCTTGCGATCGGCGTTTTAACACCTTTCCACCCCCCCCATAAAACAATAAACAAGCTCGAAATCTGGTGAAGGCGCGGCGCAGCAATTGTTCGCTCGCTCGCCGCTGCCGCCGGCAGAAACGCCACCGCTCCAGGCAGACCACTGAGCCTCCTCCTCCTCCTCCTGCACGTTGGCCAGGCGTCTCGGAAGAGATGGGCAGCGCAACACACTTTGCCCTGCCGCACGCTCCCTGCCGATCGACTGACCGCGGTCGCACCGATCTGTGCTGCTGGGTGGACGCAGGTGGTGGGTAAGGGGGCGGGGGATTTTAGGGAGTAGCACCTCCGTGTCAATCTGCCGCGCCAAGAGGTCGACGGGAAGCGCAGACCTCTGGCTCGCAAGTGCGGCGCTCGCGGACCCGTCACACCGCGGCAGTGCGTCACGTGCGTATGTTCGGCAGCGCTCTTTCGCGCCGTACGTGGCCGAGCTCGCTAATCGGAGGAGCACGCACGCCAATGCATTATTATTATCATTATTATTAGTGCACTTAAAAACACGGAGCGGAACCCCGATTTTCAACGCGGTCTCATTCATGCAAAGCACTTCGCACGTTTGTCGCCCATCGCAATTCCCCGAGGCCGCGGGAGCGAACAGGAACAGGTGAAACGATGGGCGACGCTCCCAACGGCGGCGGGGAGAGGCGAGAGAGGAAGCGATGAACACGGGAGGGCTTTTTCTTTCGACGCTCCACATTCAAAATCTGCACGTGGTCACCCCCCCCCACGTCCCCACCCCCCTCCCACTACCTCACAACCCCCTCTACAAAAAGCCCCACTGCGGTAACGCATCGGCGCCACCGGCATTAATCACCGCGGATCGCAATCCCTCCTTACCTTGTAGTAGGTCATATCTCTACTCTAGCGGGTCGGGAGGGGGGTGATGGGGTGGGAACGTTCGTGGATGAATGCAATCTGAAGGAGAAGGGAGCGCAGGGCCCCGGGGGATCCCGCTCCACGCCTCTAGCGCGGAGGGTGGAGATTAAGAAGCGGCCGGTGACGGCTCGGAGCGGGTCGAGTCTCCGGTGAAGCCGAGAGTGCGAGGCCGGGGGATGCGGTCGAAGGAAGGGGGAGGGCCGACGGGAGTGGGGGGGGGGATTAGGGGGGGCACGTCAGCAGAGTATTCCTAGGGCCCCGTCCGCGGGTCACGCAGCTGTTTCCCTCCATCACGGCAGGGCCGCCGCAAGTGCCGCCCCCGTGCCGGATCGCTGGAAAAATTTTTACCGGGGTGGCGTGGGGCGATCGGAGGAAGCCAGGGGGGAAGATGAGACCCAGACGGATGCTACCACCTCGCCACTATCGGCCGAGGGCTGCCACTGTCCTCTCGGTTCGATGTAGCCGTCCAAGTCAAGCTGGGATATGAACGTCCCGGCTCGGCAAGGCTTTGCGTGATGAATGCATCGGCCCCTCGAGCCGATGCATTTACTTGAAAGTCCTCCCGGCAGTGCTAGCTTCACGCACCTCCGATTAGCAGGCGTGGGAAGGCTATGGACGCTGCGCAAAAAAAAGAGTTCAACGCACGCACCTCGGAGGTGGCCGCCCCTACCGCCGCAGCTGCATCTTTACGCCGGGCAGCGGGGAACTTCGCTTGGCATGGCCCGAGATTTGAATTCGTACGGAGAGGGTTCCCCCCACCTCTGCTGTGCACTGCGCCGCTCCCGTAAGAGTGCGACGGTGGTGGAACCGCCGGAGGCATCGCTGGCGTCTCAGATGACCCACAGTCGCTCCGTTTAACAACGCCCGGCCACTCGACACCAGCAACCCCCCCCACCCCCCTACATTCTCTCCCCCCCGCTGCTGTCTGATAAATCTCCCGCGTAATCCACCTCGTGCCTCACAGCATTAAACATAATAATAATAATAACAACTAAGCGACGCCTTGGTTTCCGCAGCCCCGTTAGTGGAGCAGGTCCCTCGTACCCCAGCGAGCATTCGCTCCACCTCTGCCCGCCGGCCCCGACGCCTGCCTCTCGGTGGCCTCATCCCACAGGACTCCCCTCAAGGCCACGGAGGCCCTTGCCTCCGCCGCCGCCGCCGCCGGTTTGAGGTCGCGCTCACCGCGCACAAAGCGCTCGCCTCACCCAAACGAACGGCAATGCCTCGCCAATCTCACCGAGAAGCGTGAACCACCATGGGGCCGTCCATAAATGACGTCACGCGATTTTGGACGATTTTTGACCCCTCCCCCCACCCCTCGTCACACGGCGTCACAAAAAGTCAGTCCGCCCCCCCTTAAATATGACGTCACAAAGCTCTGCCCCCCAAAAAATATATATAACACATGCTTCAAATCGCTTTAAACTACTGTCATTGTAGTGCGTATTTAATTTGGCGCTGCACTCTGATGTTGTAGGAGAAAACATTTATTAAAAAGTCTATTTAATTAAGTAGAACGTGTTGTCTATATTTATTTAAAGTTGTGCATTTTAGATGTGACGTCACATTTCTCAACCCCCCCCCTCGTCACAAATGTCTGACCCCCCCTCCCCCCACGGTGCGTGACGTCATTTATGGACGGCCCCTATCACGCGAACGCCGGCATCCTCGTCGAACAAAGGCGGTGCTCACCGCATCGCACGCTTGCAGACGCGCTTCTGCGGCCGTCTGGAACGCTCTTCCTTCCGCTATTAGGAAGCCACTGGAGCTGTGCACTTATGAGTCGTCTAAATTGCAAAACTCATTTATTTAGCATTGCTTTTCCTGTTTAGTTTGTCGTCCTTCCCCCCGCACCTCCGTGCAGCACGGTTGGCTACGTACGGTGGTGCAAATAAAGTTCAGCATTTATACGCACACACAGTGGCGCAATGAAGCAAACGGTGGATATTTGTTTACACATCGAAATACTATTGGCCGAGTTCACGGATTTGCCCGGCCTGGCGATACTGAATTTTTCTTCTTTGGCTCTCTCGGTGA